TGTTTTAAACTTAAGAAAACAATTGATGTTAAATAATAAAAATTCTTTGAATGAACATTTGTTCTTATGTAGACTGAATTTAATGCATTTGCTTAATTCTTGCTGCCTATATTTTTCTTAAAACAGTTTCAATAAGCTAAATATAAAATTATTCTGATATTTATATCTGAGTAAATTTTTCTTGTTTGCAAAGCAGGATTTTTGTTTTACTCAAATTTAAGAAATAGGATTTGAGGTTAGCTTTATGACTGGAAGAATTGTACAATGTGGAATGTATTTTATGTCTCTTTTTTCTCCTCAAATGCTTTCTTTTTTTTGAGATTATAACATTTCTTCCTTCCCCCACTTATCTCCAGACCCTCCCATCTTTTTCTTCCTTGCTCTTCTTTAAATTCTTGGTGTCTTTTCTCCCACTAATTAAATACATATTTACCAACTTGTTGTAAATTGTTGTTGGGTTTTGATATTTGACCTAATGATAAAACTTGTTAGAAACTGGTTTGTTTCAGTATATTTAGACCCATGGGATTTAATCCTGAGAGCGTTCACCTTAAGAGTACAAGAGGACAGATATCTTGTTCTGATTTGCCAGACTGTAGATAAAAACTTCAAAGAGTCTTCCAGGTTGGACAGTCAGTTTGCTCTGATGCTGTTCATGTTACAGAATTTCTTTATTAATTAGAACAGAGTTTCAAACTGCAAAACAGGAAGACTTGGTATTTGATACCACATAATCAAAACAGTAGTTGTTTCTCAAATGTTTAGAATATTGTTTTAAATCCAACTTTTAGGTCACTAGATGTAGCAGCTTTAAAGTAATAAGCAGGTAATTTTTATTATTTATTTATTTTTTAAAAAGAAATGGTTGTCCACTGAAAGTGTTTTAAAGCTACATTAAAAAACAAAAACAAAGAAACATCACCATTGCAATTGGGAAGAATTCTCTGTGCTAAATGACTACATGTCAGTCCTCTTGCAACCTTATGAATGGTCCTCTCTTTGAAGAAAAGGCATTTTATGTAGATGTCTGTTTTACCATGTGCTTTCTCCCATTTCTTGATACTTTTCACCTAACCTAGAAAATGGCTTGCGAGAAAGGAATTTGGCATGACCTTTGAAGATAAAAATTAGTCTTAAAAAACAAGACAAAACTTTTAATCTTGTTGTGTCTGTATTCCGGCCAAGATGTGTTTAGAATCTCACTCAAATATGGTTAGAATAGCAAAACAGAATTCGAAAGATTCAAAAATTTTCTCCCTCAGAAATTGATTCCTTCAGTAAAGCATAATGGCAGATTATATTGCAGCCTTGTCTTTGTTCCTACAAGGCAGGTCATATCTTTTTTTTTTTTAAGTTCTTTGACTTTTGTGTTTTCTGTGAATAAAAATTTCTGTGGCAAGTAATGATTTCAGTTTTATTTTTAATCTTTTCTGATATGCTTTGAATTAGTTTTTGCATCTCCTTCTGTTAGTGTATATACATTACAAACACATAATAGATTTTGAAGTCTTTATTGTAACATCTGTGTTATTAGTAGATTTGTTTTAATTGACTTTTTTCATCTCATACAATCTTTAATGACCGCCACCACCATTCTGTGTATGTGTTTGTTCACATGTGTGCTTGTACACAAAGGCAATAGCATGAGGCTGAGCATCTTCCTTCCCAGGTCTCTACCTTATTCATTCATTCATGCATTCATTCATTCATTCATTCATTCACTCACTTGTTATTTCATGTATGTCTATACAGCATGTATATGCAATGCCAGCAGGGGCCAGAAAAGGGAGTCAAATGTCATGGCTGTGAAGTTACAGGTAAGGTAGTTGTGAGCTGCCATGTTCTTGGAATCAAGCTAGGTTCTCTTGAAGAGCAGCCACTGTTCTTAACCTCTGTCTGTCTGTCTGTCTGTCTGTCTATCTGTTGTCTGTCTATCTATCTATCTATCTATCTATCTATCTATCTATCTATCTATCT